TATGCAGGATGAAAGACTTTGCCCTTCACTGGTAAACATTTTTGAGTTTTCTGAACTTATTGTTAGCATTACACGTGAACGTCACGGGCACACCCAAACACTAAATATACCGCCGAATGCTAAGTATTTCACAATCATTTTTTCATATCTATAGTTCTTATCAGTACTATCAGCTCTTGACATGCTGTCAACCTGCACCATGCGTGATTTACCCTATTTTCGGGAGTAAATGGTGCATTTCGCAGAGTCGCACGCGACAGCGCGCGCGAAAACTTGGTAGACGCTGCAACAGTTTCCTGTGGCTTTTGCAAGTTGGCATCGTTTACCCTTCCAATTAGTTTTCAAACATCGCTCATTGACTATAGATCACTTCCATGGATGAAGAAACAAAAAAAGACGCAAAATTAAAGGTAGAAGAATTATTCGCGGCGCTCGAAGTGAACTCGCCCTATAGATGGACCTTATACTCCAGTGAATATGATGAACCTTTTTAATTCGTTTTTGTCCGATTTCCGTGATCTTTTCGTTGATTCTAATTGAAGCTTTTCTACCACTATTATTTATATCTACCAATACCATTTTTGTTTTTTTTCCATTTCTATTTAAAACAGTCGCAATGAGATTACAGTAAGTTTTTTCACATGTTACTCATCGGTAGGAAGCTGGTGATGGTCTCCTAAAAGTAAAATTTTTCCTTATCCGCAAACTTTCCGCAGAACCCGAAACCCTTGTGAAGAATTCATGCTTACCTGGTCGGAGAACTGTGGTCCTAATCCCTGCAACTGATAGGGCGTGTAAAGGAGCGCGACCTGGAGCGCAGAAAGGGAAGCATTTTGTTGCGGACTCAGGATGGTTACATGACATCCAGAACTTTTGTACATGGTCCTGTAGCGAAACCAAGAGATGCAGACAGATAAAGGACAGCGTGAAATCCTGTCGGAAGAACAAATGTTCGTCTCAGCTGCGCTCGCAATCCATGCCCTTCCGCACGCTCTATCGTTTGAGGGAGGCAATCTTATTTCCCATCCTCTGAGATTTGTAGATTAGATTTGTAGTAGGCCAGAAGGGTAGCAAATACATGAATGACATCAGCAAGACATGCCCAAGTCATGTGTTTGTGGTCATTTGCCGTCTTGGGAATGTGGCCTACAAGTCTGATTGTGTGGGAGAAGACACGGGTTGCTCCTGAAATGTGATCGATAAACGCCGCCTTTTTGTCTTTACGCGTCAGCCCTAAAAATAAGTGCTTGTCGTGGTAAGGGTTGCTGAGTATTTCTATGGGACTAAAGTTTCAGGCGAATAATTGTCATGTCTGGCTCGCTGCACAATCAGCAGAATTGTACCCTTAAACGTTTGGCTTTAGAAGGTCGACTTTGTCGACATTCGTTTCGACATCGAACATGGCTCTACGCGTTTCTCTCGATGGCTGATTTTCCCAGTGAATTCCTTTCACATAGCCGTGTTCAACCCGGAACTAACCTTTGCAAAAATCCTAACAAACAGGTTTGTTGACGCGACCTTTGAAACTTTCCGTGAGGCGAGACTGCCGTCGCGCTGATGTGCCTCTCGACGATGATTGATTCCTTTTTAGATTTTGACGAAGCCGTGGCGAATTCAGCAACGACCATGCTCGATTGATCAACGCCATATTGGTGCAATGATCTGGAAGGATCCTTTGATGATCAATGGCACTGTCTGGCCACATCTTGAAAAGGTAATCGTAAAAAATTCGACGCTTATCCCTTCAACGCCGATTAGGGCGCTATCAGTGCTTTCACTCGATTTTATCATGTACTTGACGGGAATTCTGCTGAGAGAGCACTCATCGAATGAAATGATAAACCAACATTTCTCCGAGGTTCTAAGGAATTTCTCCGGGGTTTCTGAAGTGGTGCACCTTTCCCCACTCGTCGGAGTCAGTAATTCGTGGTGAGGATAGCTGCTCTTACTCTTACAAAACTTCTGTCACTAGGTGGACTGACCTACATATTGACAGGAGTTATTGCGCATTGGGAGAAATTCTAACAAGGCCAGCCATTTGGCTTTATCCAATTTCATTTGATTGAATTTCTGTTTAGTTTACTAGAAAGTTTCGTCAAATCCGAGGCACTAGCCTTTCCATAGATTCAGTGGAAAAAAGTACTGGAGACTCATTCCGCGCTTATCATGAAGGCGGAGTCACTTGGAAAAGTGCACATTTTGAAGTTGATTATCCGTTCCTTCGAAGATAATGAAGTGGAGAGGCGCGCCCAAGAGGAACAGTGCTAGTCCAGCTGAGTCCGGCTACATTACGGGATTATCGTGACTGGGGACTGGGTTTCACCCCACCAACCCGTTTGACCCGTTAGATTTATGAAGCCAATGCATAACAGATAAAGGTTCAGAGACCAGAAATCTCTATTCCGCGCTCGGTATGATGAACAAGGTCGTGTTACGGTGTCAAAAGAATGTGGACGCTTGAGAACAGAGTTAGGGGCACATTCCGCGGTGATCGTATGGTCGGAGATAAAGATCCACCTCACTTCACATGCACACCCTATTTTTGACGCAGTGAGCAGCAGTTGCGCACCAATGGGGAAGGCACATGGTTCTCCGCCCCCATCTTGCTAGCGCGGAGCGCACCTCCAAGCACCCACAGCTTGCTGCTTCATTGATGCTACTGAATTTTCATTCAACTCGCATCTTTCAGTAGCCGCTAGGATAAGTGAGAAGTGAAAGGGCCCCCTGCGGCATTGGCTGTTCGCTCAAAGGCGGTGTGCCAAATGCCGTCTGGACCCTGCCCCGTTTCTACGAAACTTCACGCTTAGTTGATCATGATTTTTTAACGGCATGGTTTTTCGGTGATCCTGCACTAATTGTAAGTCCAAAGAATCTAGGTAAAACAGGGGAGCGTCAATTTACCGTGGACCAGGCGCCCGAATTTTGGCGATCGGAAGAAGTGCTGCTGAAAGGAAAATACAGCTCGCATCTGCTTCCATTGGTGTTCAAAATCTTAGAAAGATGCGGGAGCTGTGCTTTTGCCCAGTGCTTTGTGTAGATAAAATTATCCGTTCATTCGTCTTCAGTGTGGGTGCGTTAGTACTGCCCTTGCACTTTACCCAGAATGACCTTTAGGTGAAGGTGCAAAGTTCGCGACAGCGATTTTCTGGGCGATCATTCCCCGACTACGTGACCGTCGATGTGCCCCGCCCTTATGATAGCGGCAATCCGCTTTACGACCAGACATCTCTTCTTCGCAAAAAGGCCAGCACTATGTACGTTTCTGCACGTTTAATGGATGAACGGTAAAGCGGAAAAAGAGTAAGTTAGCGTGACCTTCGA